CGGATACCGACCCATCGTCTTCGGGGAATAGCGCAGGATTAAAAATAGAACAAAGGAATTTTGCACAGTAGCGCAGCTCCATTCTACCAAATGCATGGTGGCGCCGTTGATGTTCATCTAAAGGTCTAAAATTTCACGAGGAGTATCGTTAACTTGGGTTAATTATAACAACAATTTTGGACTGGAAATCCGGGCCTTCGATATTGGTTTTAGACCGTTGTAGCCGGAAAATAATACATAGGGTGGGATTAATCAGGGAGACAATGGGCAACGGAATCCGGAGCTCTATTCTGCCAGGTCAAATAAAGGTTGCGCTCAGGCTTTAATTATCAGTGTCAGGTTTGAAAAGTACCGAGAGGCTAAACTGGCAGATCAAACATTATTCTTAACCAGGGTTGAAAAGCCGCTTAGCGACTTGAAACATCGTATAAGCCCATGAAATTCTGCACTTTGCATAATTCGCCCGACTGTCATGAGCAATAATGAAAAACGTTCGGTCATTCCCATTATATAGGCTATCGTCACTTCCGGTTCATGCTAATTTTTCCTAACAAAGAGGGCGTCCGTTTTTTTCAATAAAAACCTAATTTTAATGTCGAAAATAGCATAATTTGCAAATTCTTATCTGTGTGCAGTCATCTCGGAGGCATTACGCGCCTAATGACGTATCATACGTATCTTAAAAACCTTCCCCTTTTGTGATACTACTGGAACAAGCTTACGGAAGTTGCATGCAAATGCACACACACACACACACACACAGAAAGTATTTTTCAGGTAGGATGTCAAAATGGGACGATTGAGCTTAAAATGTCTTGAACCTTCCATAAGCCCTTGGGAATAATCCTGGCTTTTAAACAAGCAAGGAAATGAGGTGCTTCAAGCTAGTTTTAACCGCGCAAGCTTGATAATTTTCAAGGGAATTCCGAGATCAAACGTGGGACAACGACGCAGTCACAGTCTTGCGATGAGTCACAGAATGTACCCATTTATGGCATTGCGACGTTTCGTTTTGTTCGTTTCTTCGTTTTCAGACAGTAGACTGGCTTTTTAAACAGGTTTAGATGCCGAAGGTGCCCGACGCTAATCGAAACTTTTTGTTTATTTTTGTATACATGGGTATATCCCACTAACTCAAATTTTAGTGCCTCAAAAATTTTTATAAAGTGTAGCCAAATTAACAATGCGTTTCGGGGCCAGACGTGCCCTGGTTTGGCGGTGGCGCCACAGTCACGGTGTTCGTGTCCGTTTGCGTCGCTCCTTTGTTGCGCCTTTCGATTCCGCTCTAAAATTTTCTGCGTCCTAGAAAGCTGAGCCTCGAATTACCGATGAGGTGGCGTTGTTGTATACCCACTGCCGTTGGCAATGGAACCAGCGTAAAATCGGAATTCTAAAGGCAAATTAAGCAAGTTACCAGCATCTTACCGATAACATTTAATGAAGCACATCAACACAAGCGGCTCCAGAATCGGATCAACCATGACCAGGACGCTGACGATGTCCGAGCTCCAGTTCCCGAATCCTACCATCGCCGCGATGAAGAATAAGCCCATCGGGGAGAAGACGCAGACGATCGGAATGATGAGCTAGCGGTTTAAAGATCATGATCGATTAGGCATTTGGTACCTGAAAGATGAGCTAGCGGTTTAAAGATCGTGATCGATTAGGCATTTGGTACCTGAAAGATGAGCGCTCGAAACAGCTCCTTCTGCATGGTTCGGGTTTTTGAGCTGATCCCCTGCTTGAATTTTAGTGCCTAAATCAAATAAAGTTTCGCCGATAAGTTAATTATATCGCGTAATACGATACGATATATAAATACCCCATTGACGCCAAGAACCACGCACAAGATACCCATCCCGACATAGGAGCGGATGATTAGTGAAGGTGATGCACACTAGAAATCATACCTTCGTTAAAGCGCACGTTCGGGGAGGGGCCGTGTACGCGTCCTAACGTGTACACCCTATGGACGTAGGAACCGCACGCACTGCCTGCCCGTGCTGTGACAGGTCATTTCCCTCCTTTACGGCGTGGGGCACCCCTCGCCCCCTCGCCACGTTGTAGCTATGGCTGACTGGTCCGCGCCGACCTACCTTTACTAGGGAATGTTTTCGGGCGGACATCGGATCCAGATATGTGAGTATGTGCATCTTGTAGAGCTCGACGAGAAGAATCGATTGATGTAACTTTTAGCTGCGGATACCCTTTTTTAATAAAGTTACAGCGGTTTAAAGTTTTTCGCGGTACCTTCATAACTCCTCCCCACACCCCAACCGCCGTGCTCTGGTAGTCTAGTGGGGGAGTGGTCGGCGTCTGGGGATGGTAACGAGGGTACGGATCCGCTCACGATTTTCATTTTTTGCTTTTTGGTCGAAAGCTTCCATTTTGCATCCCGAAGGACCACATTAACTTTTTTTTCATTTTTCTACTCAAATCCGCATTAAACAAACATAAGCGGAACACAGAGGATTTTTCGAGCTATAGGCATCAGCCTTGGTGTGGGTGAAACTTGCAAAAAAACCAATGAATACTGTCACCAACTTCTTTGGTGTGGGTGCTGGAGATAAAAATGAAAACAAAGTTAATGTAGTCCTTCGGGATGCAAAATGGAAGCTTTCGACCAAAAAGCAAAAAATGAAAATCGTGAGCGGATCCGTACCCTCGTTACCATCCCCAGACGCCGACCACTAACCCACTAGACTACCAGAGCACGGCGGCTGGGGTGTGGGGAGGGGTTATGAAGGTACCGCGAAAAACTTTAAACCGCTGTAACTTTATTAAAAAAGGGTATCCGCAGCTAAAAGTTACATCAATCGATTCGTCTCGTCGAGCTCTACAAGATGCACATACTCACATATCTGGGTCCGATGTCCGCCCGAAAACATTCCCTAGTTAGGGATCTGAGTAGACCTCCCGAACCCCCGCCCCCCCTTTACCCCTACTTTGGGGGGTTGGAGGGGGGTTGGGTAGGGGGGTTTTGGGGGGTTGGGGAGGGGGGTTGTGGGGGGTTGGGCAGGGGGGTTTTGGGGGGTTGGTGGGGGGTAGGGAGGGGGGTTTTGGGGGGGTTTTTGGGGGTTTTGGGGGGTTGGGAGGGGGGTTCGATACATAAACTATAAGTTAACTACACTTATTATACTTCTGTTTTTGCTTACTATTAGCTGTAGCAAGTATTGAACAACCATTACGACACGAAAAAAGTGGGAAACTGGTTAGTTTTGTCGGTTTTGCTTGTTGCCAATGGATAACAATTGATTAAACTAATTTTTTTGTTGGTTTCTACCACATAATCTATTTAAAAAGTGTAAACTAGCTTTCCTATATACAATACCTGCGATTTGACAACTTTTTAGACACCAAATCTTCCTGAAAGCAAACTTTTTGACAGAATTTTCATTTCCAGGCTAAAGGCTGGCAAAGCGCTGCAATTTTGGGCAAAACGGTTTCCCAATGAGTTATTTGTGTAGGGCATAGCATTACAATCAATTAATGGTGTCATTCCGAAAATAAAAACAAGCCACAATCTCAAATAAAGCAAATAAAGCAATTCACCGGGTAAAAATCCGGGTCGTAGTGTTTTAAAAAAGAGTTCGAAAAAAAAATGACTGTCCTCTAGGCTTGTCACACCCCCCAGAACCGAATACCCAAAAAGCAAAAAGTTTTCCCCGCGGCCGGGAATCGAACCCCCCGACCCTCTGCTTAATACACTATAGGGGGTTGGGAGGGGGTTTTGGGGGCTGGGTGGGGGTGTTGGGGGGTTGGGAGGGGTTGGGTAGGGGTTTTGGGGGGTTGGAGGGGTTTGGGAGGGGGGTTTTTTGGGGGGTAAATGGGGGTAAAGGGGGGTATATGGGGGGGGTTCGGGAGGTCTAGCTCTGAGACCTAATTATCTGGAAAATCGTGTGAATTTGAGGGCGACTATTTGTTTCTTTTCACGATTCGGCCAGACGTCGCACGCCTTTACAAATGGTTTTTTTGGATAGTTCTGTTTTCTTCATAAACTGAGGCCAAGGTCCTGGAGTGAATAAAAAACGATGGAATGTGCAGGCAATGGTCCCGTTGGATGCGGTGGTGAAGGGTCTAACGTGGCAGTGTCACCAGAGAAAACGTGAATCAGAAAATTTATCGAATCAACCGAGATGCAAATCCGCTTGCACCTCATTTTCAACCGGTCTTGGAGCAGAAGTTTCTTCATGTGAAACTGAGACCACTGCCACCGTATTGGTATTTGTTTGCCGCGGTTCTTTACTGCGGGTTTGACCGCCGCTCTAAAAATGAAAGTAGGGAAATTCTGTTTTCCGTTACCGAGGAAGTAGTGGTGTCATAAACGCGCTGCCGTTTGCAGTGAAACCAGCGTAGGATTGGTACTCTAAAAGTATCAAAAAAATATCAGAGTCATAGTTCGGTAACCTACCTGTAACATTTAATAAAGTACGTCAGCACCAGTGGCTCGACGATCGGGTCAAACATCACCATGATACAAATGATATCGTAGCACCAATTATCGAACCCGACCATCGAGGCGATAAAGAAGACGCCCATCGGCGAGAAGACGCAGATGATAGGAACAATTAGCTAATAAAAAGATATATGTTGAAAAATTAGCTCATACCTGAAAAATCAGCGCTCGAAACAACTCGGTCTGCATCGCTCTAGTTTTTGTGCTGATGCCTTTCTTGAGTGTTAGGGCCTAAATCCGATTAGATGGAGGAAAAAGGTAGCTTACTGTATTGAGTGACCATCCACAATAGATAATGAGCACCCAGTTGAAGCCAAGAATCGAGCAGAAAGTCAACATCCCAATATACGAGCGGATGATGGTTGAAGTGGAGAAGCCCTAAAACGGATTTTTACGACTTGAAAATAGCTTAGGCCGGTTTTTCAAAACTAAAAGGTCTTCAAAAAGCATTTTCGCAGCCAGGTTATCGTTACTTACAGAAAAAGCCTGCGTCAACCCCATCGTCCCGATCGCCTCCCTCCCCGTCAACTTCTTATATTTTTCATTGTTTGCTGCCAGAATTTCCGGATCCGGATATAAGGTGATATACGAGTTTGCCGTCCAGGTCCCACTAAAAATTTTAGTTACTTGGTACAGTACAAACTTGTTTACAAAACAAACAAATTTTCTAATTTTCTTGCAGAAGTTCTCATACCAATTCAAAATGTAGTAGCCGATTCCGAGAAACAACGTACGGCACAGGGTCAGCCGTGGCATCCAGTCGGCCCTGAAATTTCGAATTTCACAGAAAATTATCCCAAAAATGTCCCGGGATTGTTTATTTGTCTGAATGTAAAAATTAACGTTTCAATGAAACACGACTTTTTGGGAATTTCGCTAAAAAACTAGCTCACCTGCAAACAACCACGTAGCGATACATAAACTGAAAGTTGAGAAACACCAGTAGCCCGCTGACAAAGTGGCAGTATATGATCATAATATTGAAGATCAGAAATTGATCTGTTAGCAATTCCGAAAGAGAAACGAGTAAGAAAGATCTTCCGAAGATGTAGGTGGACTGAAAATGCCAAACTTGAAGGCTAGCAGTGGTACAAATCACCGGTGCCACAACAACATCTGTAGTCACGTAGATCATATTAAAAATAGAATATCCAGCTAGCAAATATTTGTAACGTCCCATTGTTTTTGGAGAATAACGCAGAATCAAAAATAATACAAAGGTGTTCAAGATCAGAGCAACTATCCATTGCGTGAAATGGAAATTCGGACTCGAAATCATTTGCTGAAAAAGTAAATAAATTTTCAGGGTGCCTAAAGAAAGCATCTGACAATTCCGAAAGTGGAAACTACTACATAGAAACTTTTGGGTTCAATCACAACGTGCGCCTAATTGCAGGTATGCGGCAATGTAAATTGGCTACAACGTGCTGAAGCGTCACAAAAAAGCAACCGGATGTTTCAACACATATTGGCACGGATTCGGACTAATTTTTAGAGTTTGTGCAGCGAGAATCGAGTTGTTAGTTCAATTTCATCAGCGGTTCTCGAAATTCTCAACGGAATCAGGCACAAATGTGACATCTGGAAGTAGCTGTTGTAACTTTGGAAGCTCCAGTTTTTCAAGTTTTTCAAATCTTAGAGCATGAAATTTTTTTTCTGTTCTAAGATTTCTGCGAATTTTTGAAGTTGGAAGAATTTTTCTGTTCTGAGAAAAATATAAAAAACAGCTTTTAGGAGACCTAGTCATCTAGCGAAATCAGGATAAAGCTTTGTAGAAATTCAATGCATCCTTGCGAATGCGACTGTTCAGACGGCATGGAGAAGTATGTTTTGGGCGTGAGCCGCGTGACCTAGGTGTTGGTCTTCTAAATCTTACTCGTCGTCTCACGACGCTACAAAATCGCTAATCCTTTCCCTCGCCGCTAGTTAAAGCAATAAGGTGACACATCCAGGGTAAAATTTAGCCTCACGCTCAGACCGGAGAATTTCGGAGTTTTGCAAAAGCAATGCAGGTTCTAAAGCTGGAAGAATCACCGAAACTTACTTTCCGGATGCCTGGATATGGGAAGTATTTTCCGGCACATTACACCTTGGTGAAAGCACTTGTTCAAAAAGCAATCAAATTCTAGAAATGCCCATTGGCGCACGTTCACAGGCCTTCATACAAGTGCATAATACTTTATTATCTTTTTAAAGGATAAAGCCAGCGTGAAATCGTTGAAATAACGATTGTTAAGATGCTTCAAAATCTAATTGGTCCATTCAGTTTCAATGTCCAAAAATTTTCAAAATTCTATGCTGCAATCCAAAGTAGCACAAATCACAAAACATTCACATTCGCCGACTCGTTCTCGTTTGGCGGCAAGGTTTGTTAACTATTTGTTTCACCCTGCGAGGATAATGCCGCGGTATTCGAAGTAGTATTATTTGTATCCCTGTTCAGCACATATCCGAGGCTCTAAAAAGAAATCGTTGCCAAAGGGAGCGCAGCCATACCGAAGCAGCCGTGTCATAGACCTGCTTCCGCTCGCAATGGAACCAGCGCAGCATCGGTGCCCTGAAGATTTTATAAATCCTTTAATCACATTGCTAAAAATTTACCTATAACATCTCAGGCAGCTCATCAAGACCAGCGGCTCGAGAATCGGGTCAAACATCAGCATCACCGAGACGATATCCGAGTTCCAGTCCTCGAACCCGGTCACCGCGGCGAGGAAGAAAAAGCCCATCGGGGAAAAGACGCAGATTAGTGGTACAATCAACTAAATTCAGATGAAAGTACCTCATTACACTTTTGTTACCTGAAAAATTAGGGCTCGAAAAAGCTCCCGTTGCATCGTCCGCGTTTTCGCGCTGATGCCAGATTTGAAGTTTAGGGCCTAAAAAAAGATAAATAAAAAAAATAGGTTTCTACCGCATTCAAAGACCATCCACAATAGACAATGATCACGTAATTGGTGCATATAACTGAGCAGAAAACGCTCATCCCAATGTAAGAGCGGATAATGATAGCGGTCGAGACACCCTAGAACGAAAAATTGTAAGGTAATAGCTGATTCATGGGATTTATTGGGAAATAATAACAATAATAAGAAAAATGCTGTAACAGAGCAAGTGACAAGACAATAATTAATGAACTTTTAACTAAATGAAAATCACACAGCCCCCTGAGGCTTGAGTAACTCGGCGCGTCGCGGTTTGCGTTGCGCGCGCAGGAGAATGTTTTGATTGCGTGTACGAATGCTGTTCTAGTTTGGTCTTCTTTCGGCTATTATCTGGCCTAATTTTTTAAGACCCGTCGCTACCCACCGAAAAAGCTTGAGTCAACCCTCGAGTACCAATAACATCTCTGCCAGTTAGATTCTTGTAGCGTGCATTCGTTGCCACGAGGATTTCCTCATCCGGATACAGAGTTATGCACGTATCAATGGTCCAAATTGCACTAAAGCATTTATATTACCGATATGTTGAGGGATCTCAATACCTATTAATGACATAGTAAAGCAGTCCAAAAATAGAGTACGAACTAGTGTCATGCGGGGCTTCCATTCAGCTCTAAACTCTAGTATCTCTAACGGCAGCGTTACTTACTTGCAGACGACCGCGAAGCGATACATGAATTGATAGGTCAGGAAAGCAAGCATTCCGCTCACGCAGCTACAGTAGATGACCATCAAGATAAAAATGAGAAAATCGTCGGTAAGGAATTTGGTCAACGACACGAGCACAAACGCTCTACCGAAGATGTAGGTGGTCTGAAATTTTTTTGGATTTAGCTAGTCGTATTGCTATACATACCGGTGTGACCAACACATCAACGCTCACGTAAACCACATTAAAAATCATATAACCAGCCAATAGATATGGATAATGCCCCATCGTTTTCGGCGAGTAGCGCAAGGTCAAAAAAAGCACAAAAGAATTGAGAGATACAGCGCAGCACCATTGCGCAATATGCAAGTTGGCGCTGGAGATCATCGTACGGAAACTGCGGTATTAGACGGTAGATCTGCGAAGAAGCCTCAAAATCTGAACCTGGATAAAAATTGGAATCTTCATAATTCAAAATCCCAAAAGACGCCTGGTTAGTCAGCCATGTTCAACCCAGCTCGAGCGTTAATTAATTTGAATTAGACTTCGGGGAGATCTTGTAACGCATTTCCGAAAATCCCTTTTTGACGCAGGATGCGCACTTTTTGGATGCAAAATTAGCGAAGCGGAAGAGGGGTTTGGCATATTGTTTTGGTGACGTGGAAAAACTTGTAATTAGAGACATAGATGTAAACTTTGTTGCGAATTGGGAAATACTTTCTGGAATTGTAAGCAGGTAGGCTAGACTTTGAAAATTGTTGATCTTCACGTTTCGTGAGATAATACCTTGCCATACCTTCTGTTTGTTGTCCCATACCGCTACAAAACGATAGTTTTGTTGGACCTAATTCGAAAAACACGTTAATCCATCCTTGGCTGGCGGGCTGGCGAGCTTATTCGATGTGATATGTTCCAGGTGGAAGGCTAATTGTTTAATTTTTATTTAGATATATATTTGTTTGATCCAGAGAAGTGTAGTTCCATTTGTTCCGGTCCTTCGCCTTGCGCGAGTGTTGGCTGAGTTTTTGATTCCTCATTACCAAGCGATACGGCAGGCAGGGTGTTCGTATTCGATTGTTTCGTTCCCTTGCTGAGTACGGGCCCCTAAAAAGCGTGTTTAGGAAATTATAAACGGCTAAAATTACCGAGGAAGTCGCTGTGTCGTGGACTTGTTGTCTCCAGCAAGGTAGCCAGCGCATAAGTGGTGTTCTACGATTCATGGAAATCTTAGAATCAGGGGGGAGTTGGCCGTACCTATAGCATTTTGTAAAGTACATCAACACCACGGGCTCGAGAATCGGGTCAAACATCAGCATCACACATAGTACGTCCGAGTTCCAATTCTCGAACCCGACCATGGCGGAGATGAAGAAGAAGCCCATGGGGGTGAAAACGCAGACGAGCGGGACGATGAGCTAATTTGAAAATAGTCGCATGAAAAATCCCCATCACCTGAAAGATCAGAGCTCGGAACAGCTCCTTCTGCATCGCCCTAGTTTTTGAGCTGATGCCTTTCTGGAATTTTAGAGCCTAAAGGAGTTGACTGTGTATATGGTGATGCTTACCGCATTGAGTGACCATCCACAATAGATAATTAACACCCAGTTGATGCCAAGAATCGTGCAAAAAGTCAGCATACCAATGTAGGAACGGATGATGACCGGCGTGGAGACGCCCTAGAAAATCGATTGGCGCTTTTACGCAAAGCCTCGAAAACCCAGTTCCACAACCAAGGACTTACAGCAAAAGCCTGCGTTAACCCCATCGTGCCGATCGCGGTCCGTCCAGTCAAATTCTTATATATCTCATTGTTCGCTGCCAGTATCTCAGCGTCCGGGTACAAAGTTATCAGGTTGGAAAGAAAAGTAATGGCACAAAATCTTTAAACCGCTGTAAAAACCCGCAAGAACGTCCCATTTGAAAGTTTGATATATGGTTTGGTAGATTTTCGGATGCTCTATCACGAGACGACCCTCAAAACACCCAAAAACTAATGTACGCGAAAATACAGGCCTCAGAAGTTTCACGGAAAATTAGGTGAAAGCTTCTAAGCGAGATATCTTTGCATACAGGCATTGGCATACGATACCTTTAACACCAATCGATAGCTCTCGAGGAGTAAATATCGATAGATGTTGAGATCATCAAAATCGGACACTGGATGGCCGAGATATGGGCCTTCCAAAATCAATGCATTTTCTGGATTTTGGTTCGGGAGCTGAAGCAAACGCAGCAGTTTTTGGCTCACGCAGGCCCAAATGTATGGGATTTCGAGAAAAGTTCTAACAGGTGGACCAAAATTCTAGGGGCCTTATCTCGGTCATCCAGTGTCCGATTTTGATGATCTCAACATCTATCGATATTTACTCCTCGAGGGCTATCTATTGGTGTTAAAAGTATCGTATGCAAATGCCTGTATGCAGAGATATCTCGCTTAGAAGCTTTCACCTAATTTTCCGTGAAACTTCTGAGGCCTGTATTTTCGCGTACATTAGTTTTTGGGTGTTTTGAGGGTTGTTTCGTGATAAAGCATCCGAAGATCTACCAAACCATATATCAAACTTTCAAATCAGACGTTCCTGCGGGTTTTTACAGCGGTTTAAAGATTTTGTGCCATTACTTTCTTTCCAACCTGATATATACGAGTTGACCGTCCAGGTTCCGCTGAAAACTCTCATAGGTGCTTGCTCCGATTTTCCCAGAGTGTTTCGGTTCTGGACTGTTTGCAGGGGGACCAAACCATACAGGTGGAAAAACCAAAAGATATTTCCCCCCCCTGCTAATAGTCAGAACCATAGTTTCGTTCTAGATACCAATTAAGGGTGAAATAACCAAGTCCGGCCATCAAAGTGCGATGGAGCGTCAAACGCGGCAACCATTCGGTCCTGAATAAGAAAAATGAGGGCTAAGAAAACCTAACGTGTGAGATCCGGGATGAAGGAAAGCTTTTCTAGGTATCTGTCTAGGTCTAGATATGTCTGGCATGTATGTCTAGTAGTATGTCTAGGTATCTAGGTATCTAGGTATCTGATGCTTACAATATCTTTGTCACCTTTTGAAACCCGGAGAGAGTCGTGTACTTACTTGCAAACAACTACATATCGATTGACAAACTGAATGCTGAGGAAAACGAGCAGCCCACTACAGCAGCTGCAGTAGAATACCATCAGGTGGAAGACGAGCGAGTCGTCGGTGAGGAATCGGGTTAGTGACATGATCAGGTAGGACCTTCCAAATATGTACGTGGACTGCAATAAATCATCACCCTTTCTCTTGAAATGAGCGTTTTTTTTGTGCCCAAATAGTTATTGGCAGCGCAATAGTATGATCGAAGGCGGTCTGAATTACAATTTATCACCCACCGGTGCAACAAGGACATCCGTCGTCGTATAAATCATATTGAAAACAGAATGCCCGGCCAGTAGATAGGGGTATCGCCCCATCGTCTTCGGCGAGTAGCGCAGGATCAAAAACAACACCAACGAATTCAGCACCGCAGCCACGCCCCATTCTGCGATATGCACGTTCGCGCTGGAGATCATTTTGCGTGGCGGAGAGCAAATTGTAAAAATCACGACGAGCTGGCAGCCATGCGGTGAGTGTTAAAAGTGATTTTGCAAAAGGGAATCGGGTAATTTATACCGTCCTTCGGTTCTCTCACGGTGCCACAAAAATTAGTGGATTTTCCCCGAGTCCGACAAAGGAAACAGATCTGCCCTCGAAATTCGGGCCTTTCTTGGGCGAACGGTTAGTCAGTTTCGGTGGCGGTATCGTAGTTTCGACGGCTTTTGGTTGTGGTTTCCAGAGATCCGCGCCAAACGTGGCTTATATTAGCGTGAGACTGCACCACACCTGAAGAATCAGCGATTTTTCGAGCAGCACAGAACTGTTCTGGCTTTTAGGCGGCAGGAAAATAAAAGAGAACACCTAATAAACTATACTACAGTCTCGTTTCAGGTTAGGGATTGTCACCAGAGTGTCCCAACAAAAAACACCCTTGAACTCGACGCAGAATTATCGGACCAGAATAATAGCTCCACCATTCGAAAGCCCTGAAACCGAGAGTTTTCAACAATCTTCAAAAAACTGTTTTCATTAAAAATGCAATTTTACAAGCGTTGTAAAACTTTGCGGTTTTTGGGGGATGCATTCGATCTAATTTTCCTCAATTTTTGCGAGCAAAATCACCGTAACTTCATGTTTTTAAAGGTGCTGTAACATGGCGCGCTTTCATAAAAATGTAACT